GAACCTTGCCGTTGGTATAGGATCAGTGTTTGGAACAACTTATGTCTGTGAGCAAAGTTTTTTTTTCAAAAATGAAGTGTGTGAAGTCAACATATTGAACGAGAGTGACTGATAAACATTTGAAAACAATTCTCTTGATTGACTGCAGTTGTGCTGCTTATTTTGTGATATTCGAATATGTGCGCAGTTGTCCTGATGTAACTATATGTTTGTTAAAGTCACCTTCTTTGATAACTTTTAAGAAAATAAATACTTTGGATGTATTTGTTTTTTGTACATAGCGCGCCACTCACCCATGACTAACATGGGACACTTCACTTAGTTGATCGCCTTTTTTCCCCCAGAGCTTTCTTTCTGGCTTTTAAGTATTGTATGTAATTATTATCCGGCCCCGCGTTCGTCATTTTTCCCGATATCCGGCCCGCCGTGTAAAAAGTTTAGAGACCCCTGGTTTAGATAATTACGGGAAACTTGGTTATCGTATAACATCCTTAACATCCTTATGACGTAATAAATAATATTCGAAGTTCTTCATTTAAATCAGAGTTTAGGGAGAGATTCATCCACTAGACTTTGTTTAGAAGGTTACCTATTATTCATTTATTTCTCTTAGATTCAGATTAGTTAGTTGTAACCGTCAACTTTCACTTTTATTATGAATCTTTATTTTATTTGTTAAATTATTTTGTTCTGGTATATTCATGTTTTTATTTACTTCTGTTTTGATGTGTACATTTTTAAAGAAAAGTAATTGATATGCAAGACAGTTAGGTTAACTGATTTTCTTTTAATTGTAATTTGTCTGATGACGCTATACTTCATTTTATTGAGTATGATAAATCTCTGGTTATAGTAACGATTAAATAAGTTAGTCTAAAGATAATAGCCGTTATTTTAAGTCTTATTTGTGTCTAAAAATCAGACTTCTAGTAAACAATCATATGTAGTATCCTATGGTTTCACATGAATGAGTATCATTCATAATATCTTCATAATATATTTGTTAAACTGCTTATGGACGCTAACTCAATATCTACCAAATATAGTGAAACAAAAAGAACACTTTGTATCAAACATCAACTCTGGCGTGTAGTACTGCTGTGAACTCGTCCGTTTCTTCTGTTGGTGTATCTTGACTCGATTATAGTAAAGAATGTCTGATAAATGTACGCTTATGAGAAATTTATATCGGCTACTTCAAATATTTAATATTTAAATGTATTATTCAAGTACCTTGTAACTTCTTATTGTTGGCTAACAGAAATTAATCTCAGCCCCTCCATTGATCCATCTTCAATCTTCAATTTCTCTGAATTATTTTTGTAGACATATGAATATTTGTTATTTTTCAGAAGAATGATGAACATGTCTTATGTTGAAAGTGTACTAGCTTAAAATCGTTATCGTAATTTAATTGTTATTATATATTTTAAAATTATTTTGATATTTTTTTATGCTGAAAATGAGTATGTACCAAATAAAAGTTTCACATAGGGACGCGAGATGTCGTAGCGATGGTTCAGGTCTTTGTAAATTAATCGTAGAGAGACATACGTGTTAAAAACACAGGGAAAAAAAAGATAAAACATGATAAGAAAGGATAAAATTAGACAGTAGTAGAATTTAGACACAGAAGCAATCACATAATAAAAAAATGTTCTTAATCTCTATTATTCTAATTCTTTTAAATTGTTTAGCATTTCTTGTAACTAATTGCTAATATTTCAAGCCACACATGCACTAGGACTGTGAAGAAATGTAAGGATGCTGTTGTCTTCCATAATATTTATACCAATGGTTCTTACGTATTGAGAGAATCAGGATTACATTCTCTCCATTTAACCCCTTTCCCCATACAAAGATATATAGTTAGATAGATAGATAGATAGATAGACAGACAGACAGACAGACAGACAGACAGACAGACTAGATAGATAGATAGATAGATAGATAGATAGATAGATAGATAGATAGATAGATAGATAGATAGATAGATAGATAGATAGATAGATAGATAGATAGATAGATAGATAGATAGATAGATAG